TATAACCCAACACCAGGATTACTAGGTTTGTTACATACATAGGTCTTACAGAAACAGAACATTATAAAAACATAAATATACAAGCAATATAATTTCTTTCATTACATTTAACTCACTACAACGTATTTACAAAAAAAAATCTCATTTTTCATCTAAGAAATTAAATAATATGAAATAAATGAAAAGAATTAATACAAAAATAAAGATTCTATCAACTAAAAAATGGAAAAAGTATTCTACAATCATATGAATATTTAAACCAAGGAGAAGTAACATCTTTTTCCAGGTCTGGTTAGAGTAAGTAGTGGATTAAGTTAACAGTCTGTCAAAATGACTGACAGCAAAGTATAACAATGGGAATTGAAATGTAATACTAATAGAAAATGGTAGTGTCAGGATGTAGCAATTGTCACCTGAAGGTTAAAGAAAGAAAACACTATAAGGAACATTAGAGAAGAAATACATGATACCGATAGAAAAAGTCATGAAACTATCATTTTGATTATAAGAACTATGAAAGCAGATACTGCCAGAATCACCATCCAATTATTGATACAGCAAGCTTTATCTTCTTTTCAAAGATAACCAACAATAAGTCAAAGAATTTAAAAAGTAAAGCATAATATATTTTAGCAGTTATGTTTTTTTATGGAATTTTCCTCCAGGTAACTTAAAAATGAAAGTAAAGATATGGCATCCCATATAAATAGGTAAAACAATGCTAAATGATAAGATGCCAAGTAAAAAAATTTAGTCTATAGACAAATGCCACATACAACAAAAAGAAGAAGATATACATGACATACCTTTTGTGAAACAGCACCAGCTCTAGATCTAGCTAGTTGAAGAGCAGAGCTAAGATCTGCCTCCAGGTGCTGGAGACGTAACTGTATCTGACTTTTGTCAGCAGCCGGTTCATTTATTCCGTTATCAGAATTAAATGAGTTCCGAGTTTGTTTATGCACACTCCTATATTCAGCATCTAAAGGGTCAGCTTCTAGTGTCTTTCTGTCATCAGTCGGAACAATTTCAGCAGCTGCAAAGCACACCTTCTGTATCATGAGTCGATATAGTAATCTAAAATGCAAAAAACAAAATTTGCAAATTACCTTCAAACTCTTTTATGGAAAAGCCTGCTCTTTTAAGGCTCCAACTCCTCCACATGTCTGGTGTTGAACTTTTTGTGATGTTGACATCTTTTGATGCCCCATTTTGGGAGTAAACACCACCAGAATGGTGTAAAAATATATTTTCTGATTCTACAGACTCAGATCTGCTATTTCTATCATTACTACAGAGAGCCAACTTGTGGGAAACTAATGCTGCATTCAAAAGTATGTGTAAATTTATTTAAAGATATCAAAATCACAAAGGCTTTCAGAAAGCAATATCTTGTCCATTATAAATTGTATGTTCACAAGGACCACTTTACAGACCCTTCAACAAAAGATATAATCCAAACATAGAGTCTAAACCAAGCAAGGTCAGATTAAAACTAAATGAAACATGATAGAAAATGTTTGTTTGTTTCCATCAAACTGAAGCCTGTTCTTGTTTGGGATCCATACATTATTTCTTCTTACATAGACTATCTATCAATGTTTTCAAAAACCTAGGTAGTCTGGCCAGGTGCTTGTAGTGCTGTAAACAGCTCATACCTAGATTGAAATGGGGGATGCAATTTATATCCAATATAATAATGCACAGGTAAAACAGATCAGGTGATATACAGGTCATCAACAAATAAACTCAGATGCAATTTACATCCAATATAATAATGCACAGGTGAAACAGATCAGGTGATATACAGGTCATCAACAAATAAACTCAAATCAAATCTGGTTCTAATTGGATTGGACCTCAGACTGGGTCAGAGTGTGGGGTATGATGGCAAGGGTAGATCAATATCCAAATGATGGATTTTTGGGCTAGCGTTTGAGGTTTTATATCCACTGAGATGTGAAGTGTGACTGGGTAAAAGACTATCTAATTTATTTTTTATTGTGCATATAATATATGCAGGTGATGACTTGTACACTCACCAGTGGCTAAAGTGGCTTGGAGGCTGAGGAAATCTTAACTTGAACTGCCTGAAACTACCAAGAGAGACGAGAACCTAGAGACCCAGTGGAGTTGCCTCTCACAAGAAACTCTCTGGTACTTGGCAATAAGTTGATGACAAGAGGAGAATAAGTGAGGATTTTGTCAACATTCTAAATTATTATCTAGGCACATGTTCACGACACAGGCATCCATGGAAATACGAGAGTCCTGCAGATGACAAGAGGGTTGGCAGTGAGGGTAACCATCTGCATGAACAAAACATAGTAGATTGCAGGTGCAGGTGCAGGTGCCCAACACTATAGCCATGGCTCAGGAAGAGGTTTGTGATTACGATTATCTCACAAGCATTTCATCAGATCAATATGGAATGTTGCATGTCCCTATTATAACCAATGACAAGTCAATAGAAACAAAGAAAATTAACATGGACAACGAGGATATATGCTGACTACCTTATGATTAGTTACCAACTGATTGAAATAACACCCAGACCCCTAGATCAGGTCAATAGAGATAATGATGTTCACAATGGTAATAAATTTTAATAAGGTATAAATTTTCTAATGTCTAAACAATCACATTAGTCACTATAACTGTGCAGGATCTTTCTATTGAGCTCCTAAATGAACAAAAACATTTTTCCCAAAAAAAAAAAATCATAATAATTACTCCTTTTCAAATTGATGTCATGTGTGCTTAATATTTGAGCAGCAATATAAATTGCAACATCTAAATTTATATGTTTTGGTAGTTTTTCATTTCGACGGAAAGCATAGGTATCATCCAAAAAGAGGAAAAGGAAAAAGAATTAAAAAACAACAAAATCTGAAACTAAACTTAGAATTTAAGTTTTCTATCAGATACCAATACCTATTTCATTACAACTTACAGATCTTTCGCCATAACTGTGAAGTGCAGAAAAACAACAAAACGTCTTACACATATTCTTTATATGTGGTCGGCATACCTCCAGAATTCAATGACTTAAAATTTTGTTAAACTCAGTACTAAAATGTTTGAGAGAAGAAAAGAGAAGACCGAAAAACAAGAAACATATTGTCATGGCACCATCAAAATTTTTACCAAATTATTTCCCATGAGACACCATTGTCAATGCCAATGATGAAAAAAAGAATAATCAACAAATGCTCACATTTTAGATATCTAAAATACTTAAATACACCAAAGAAGTTCCCTCATACAAGACTGGTTCCACTCATCATTCGATAACAGAATGTACTACCAGCCTTTTAGAGATCTAAATAAGTGGTAGTACCTCATCATCCACTTAAACTGTTCTTGTCCCATACGTTAAAATTGAATTATGATAAACAAAGCAGATTGTTTCCTTCTTAAATCATTACAAATTTGTTAGATGAGGGAACTACCTCATCTATTCTAATACAATAAAATCTACTTTATCACAGCCAATATGATCAGGCGGATGATAATAACAACCCCCTAGGTGTCAGAGAAGTGAACAGTATTGAATACCTTTGACATACACAATGTATTGTCTATTGTTACTTAATTAACTGTATTACTATCAAAAAGTCATATATGAAGTATGCTTGACATGATTTATTTGACACATTAAGCATGGAGGGATATCTCTAACAGCAGTTGTCGGTCATTGGCCACCAAGCATCTGAAGACCCATAATCTACAGAATGACTTGCATCAATGCAATGAATGCTTTAGTACCGTAGAGGTGAATATGTTTCTATCTAGAGCTTGTCTAGGTCCTGCAATATTATTTTGAGATTTATTGCACCAGAAAAGCTGCACACCACCACCATCTGCCAGTGTTGAAATCTTTGCATGAGGTGGTCTTGCATCATTGGACCTAGAAAAGGTGCAATAAAGATAAGCTGGAAAATTCCTAATATTCATTGATTTACAGGAGTGTTTACATCCAAAACCAGAACTAGCACTAGCTGATCCAGACCCAACAAAAGGCTAACACCATATCTTGCATATGGTGTTCTCCCATTAGGCTACAAGTCATACAACATTCGATGATAACAGGAGTTCATCTTTCACCATGGAACAACCTAAATTATAAGCAATGAAAAGAAAAGGCAATTATAACCTAAATTATAATTATAACCTAAATTATAATTTCTAGTTCTCAGATACTAGACATGAAGAAAAGACAATTGCTCATGATAAGCAAGCTAATCGGTCTTATGTTAGAGCTGACAGAAGAAAACTTACTTGTATCTCCTGGATCATGGACAGCATCCCTCCAGGAGTTCTTATCATACACCGCTTTCTCTCTCGAACCCATAACAAAAGACAAGCCCCTCTCTTTCTCCAGCCTGCTCAAGATCCCATCGATGCCATCATCCTCCACGTTCTCCGTCTCCCTTAAAGTGTCGAAATAAAAAGGGAAACAACCAAATCAACTAGAAAGTCCAGAAAGGAAAGAAACAAAATGAATTCAAGAAACATACGCCTCACTCACAATGATCTCCCCGAAGAAGATGGGGCAGCCGTATTGTCTTCGGCGGCCAGTGTACCTACAACATCGCTCATCAAAGAACCACAAGAAACCCTTTCTTGACAGATTCTACCATCTTCTTGACCGACTCCACTCCTCGATTCCGTCCCAACGTCTATCACCTCGTCGCCATCAAGATCCCACCCCATGGCGAGCCAGCCGCCCTGCGCGGCCACCGCCTCCGCCAAGTCCGCCCTCCCGGCGGCGACGAGCTCTCTCCTGGTCGGGAAGTCCATCGGCTTGTCGGACTTCCGCATGAACTCATAAATCTCGGCCTCCACATCCATAAACCTCGGCCCCATCGCAAACACATCCTCCTGCTCCTCCTCCCTCGCCTTAAGGAAGATCCCTTTCCTACTCCTCCTCCCAATACGGATTCTAGCACTCGACGGGTCGAAGGACGACAGAGAATCGACCTTGGGATGAAATGGAGGGGGCAATCTTGGTGCGGGGAGGGAGATGAGGAACGAGGAGGGGGAAACGAACGAAAAAGAAGAGGAGGACATACCGCCACATCTCCCCAGTCCGCGAGCTTTGGAGTAGGAGGAGGAGAGATATTAAAAGAGGGCGATTCCTCCACAAAGAGGCGCGCCTTTCTTGCTTGCTTCCGTATCAAGCGAAGCAAAACGGACCAAAATCAAGAGGAATAACGAATGACAGAAAGCACAAAGAAGGCGGGGGGACTCAACGAAAGAAGAAGAAGAGCGTATCAATGGCAGTGCCCGCAGAGGGGAAGGACGAAAAAGAAGGTGGAGGTGGTAATTGCTGTAGATAAGGAGGGAGAAGCGAGAGGATTTGTTCGGGTTGCGGACAAGGGAAAGATCCTTGATTGGTCCTTTTCCTTGAGGAGGGAATTAGATGGGGACGGAGGGAAACCACACTGTGACTCGTGCATATGGTTAATCCTTGTTCCTTGAAAGAATTATATTTAAAGAAAGGTCCCTGAGGGACTTCTTGAGCATTTCTCCCACTGCGGTTTTTTCGTATTACTTTGTATAAAAGCCCTTAACAAAATTTAAATAGCATATTTGGCCTATTAATTTTCGGGTAGCTTTTTCACGTGTTCGTCCTCTGTCATCATGCATCCAAAAACGGTTAGGTTAAGGATGAATTAGGCAAGGGCGGTGAGATGATAGACGATACAGTGTCTCATTGTCCCATTGTGAGCTCTGTCTGATCTCTTTAGCTCCTCAGAAGTTGATAGGGTACGCCATCTGTTTGATCAAATGACTGCTGTCTTCATAAAGTATTTGTTTGGAACACCCCCAGAGAGTTCTCCTTTCAACAATGTTTCAAAGATCGCAGCACTCATCCATGTTTGATATGGATGTTCTTCCATTGCCTTTATGCTGAGTGTGCAACTCAGCGTCATGGGTTGCATGTGATGCATACCTGCCTACAAATTGTGTGTAAAGGCGACCTTTGGATTGGTGTTTCTCCTGTCTGTCGGCAGAGATTGTTACTGCTCCATCTTTTTATGTTGTTCACGTTGCTTGCATATGACAGACATTCTCTATTCATTACTGTTGTACTGCTCAACTTAGCTTGGACAAAATCCGTTGGGTCATCCGATGGCTACAATACAAATAGCTGAAACAAAGTGTTCGACAAATGACAAAGAAGTTTACAGTAGATTGAAATGGCTGTTCCTTTCCCAGATTACACAGTCCTACTGTATGAACGCGAGTAGCGATCCAATTAGCAGCACTTGATGATGCTTATGTATAGATCATGGAGTTGAGGCTGAAGCCGGAGGAACTACAGCTGCCATGAGAGGTTCCCCCTGAGGAAGCCCTTGCAGAGCCTCTTCCAAGCCTCTCGGTCTGGTTCTCGTGCGTCCAAGCTCGCCTGCGCCGCTTCAGCATGGCAAGTCTACAAGATTACACGCACCTTTCGTCAATCCTCTGCATGACAGAACGAATGGCGTGGCATGAATGAGATCAACTCCTGACCTGAATGAGGTTTCGCTGGAGGAGGCGATCGAGGAGGTGACGGAGAATGTCTTTGCTGTACTCAGGGTGGCCTTGGATGCCCAGTATGTGGTCTCCGTACCTGAACATCTCCACTCCGGTCTTCTCCGACCACGCCATCACCTCTGCCTGGGGAGGCACTTGCCACACCTGCAAACACAAGCCAGCATCGCTCGGAGGAGGAGACGATAGGAGGAGGAAGAAAGGGAGTGATGGGGGTCAGGCTTCACCGACCTCGTCGCGATGGCACTCTATGACAGGGAGGTGAGAGGGGATGTGGAGGGAGGAGAGGAGCTTGATGGTGGAGTGAGATGGGTGGATGCAGGTCACGCCGATATCCCATCCTTTCATGGCTCTGCCACTCTTGCCGCCCAGAGCTCGGCTCAAGATCTGCCCAAATGAACATGCTTGTGAGCATTTGCAGTGTTGGGTTTCCTTTGCACGGTTCACGTACACGAATGCTTCAAAATGTGTGCATGTAACTGAGTGTTTGTAGTATTAGTCCACAGAAGACTACGAGCAGAAATGCTAAGCCTTGCTGGTGGTTTGAGTAAACTCAGTGATAGTTCGTTGATAGGGGGAGATTCACCACCCAATCGTCGATTGCCACGTGGCTGGTAAGACTAGATAGGACTTAGATGATATGATATGTAAAGTAAGAAAATCATAATCAAGAACACTCACTAAAGCACCCCGCGTTGCTAGCATTAGCCTTTGCTTGTTTCAGCGATTTAGCATATTATATAATAGGAAACCTAAATCCTTACTCTAAAGAGGAAGAAGTCATATCAAACTCCACTGGTAACATAGCAATAATAGTAAATGGAGAAGAGAATATTCCATCCATCATGAAATAAGCCTAGTTTACTACAAAGGCCTACTAATTTATTATAATCGAGATTAATTATAATTTACCCATGACTCCACTTTGCACCTTGGCCCTAACTTGTGTGGAAGAGACCTAATCAAACACCTCACTTGATTTGAATCTTTTGATAAATCGACCATCAGATAAGCACCCGAGTCACTTCCCTAATCATTATTGGACTCATACACACGGTCCAAGACCGAGTCAAGTTGATAAAGGCATCACCGACAATCACAATTATCATTTTGACACTAGAATGAAGGCTCATCTTTGAAAAACTTATAGAGTGTTGATGCTCCTCATCGATAATATCTCGACTCACATAAGTTCATCCCTTATCATCCAAGCCGAAGCATACCTTGCCAATGAGTTAGCCTAGGTGTTTTCCTCCCTAAGGCACCTAAAGAATATCAATTTTAGAGAAATGAGGGATTGACTTCCATAATGGGAATCAGATCTATGCAATGATAATCAGATTGTGATGAGATTACGATAATGAGACTGATTCGTCTCTAAACATAGATCCTAAATAATATTGGTCATAGATTACTTGAGATTAACATTGAGATAACCAAACAAACTGATTGTTACATATTCATCCATATGATGAAGGCAGCTGGTCTTATAATTATTCATATAGATATACTAGGGCTATAGTGTAGGTGCTCAATAGAGAATAAGTTCACTGATTGATCCTCTTATGAAATACTGGATGGTTGATGATACCTTATTGTGAGACTAATTTCGTCGTCTCAGTAGTGTACTTGATCCTTAGATTTGAGACACCAAGGATATCCTATATGAGTACTACACTCTTTTAAAGGATATCCTTAGATTTGAGGGACTATAGATACATGGTAACTGACGACAGATAGATCTAAAGGATTATATTCCCCTACATCGTCTAGGGACTGCGACGTAGTGGCCTAGTACGTCCGTAGTCGATGAGTCGAATGAATTATTATGAAGATAATAATTCACTGATCTAGAAGGAGTTTTGACAGGTATAAATCATGCCCAGCTCGACATAAGGCATAGAGGGTCACACATATATGGTAGGTGTTGTAACGAGTAGAGGTTTGGATATGAAATATTTACCGGAGCCCCTATCTTATTGGATATCCATTAAGTCCCTGAATTATTGTATCACATAGATAAGATTAAATAAGAGCTAATAAGAGATTATTGGATAAAGATCCACTAATCTAAGAGGCTTGGATAATTGGATGAAGATCTAATACCCAATAAGACAGGATCCATTAGGGTTAAGTTAATAGGCAACCTCTATAAATAAGAGAGAACCAAATGGCCATAGGCTAGGCCTTTTTGGTTGTCACCTCCTATTCTCCTCTCTCCTTCTCCTTCTCAACCAACAGGTATAGAGATTTGGGCAACGATTCGATGAGCGTCTTCGCATCCCTTTACAATATAGATCACTACTAGAGAGGATGATACTTAACCTCCTTCATTCTCTCCCACAGATCTATAAGAATTCAAGGATATATGATCTCCTTAGGTAACACAACTATCTCACATGTGGTTTTTAGTTTCGTGGATTTTTGCGTACCAATCTTTACACAATAACAAACAACTTTTGGGGAAATCTAGGAATTTTATTTTCTGTTCTTCTGCTATGCATATGATGTCACCCTTAGATTTCCCTTTAGTGGTATCAAAGACATGTTGTTCGTGCAAAAGATTGGTTTTGAATTACGTGTGTTAGATTTTAGAAAGGCTTTTGACGTCAAAATTGTTGACACAAAAGGCGAGAGAGGGCAGCAAGTGTTGTCGCTCGCGAGTAGGAGCGATCGTCGAAAGGGTGGCGATGGCTGCAATATAACAGTCAAGAGCAGGAATGATTAGGGCTTTTAGAATAAATGATAGTTTTGTCCCTCAAAATTTTAAAAATTTTAAGTTCTATCCTTTATTTTCTAAATTACCTAAATACTCTTCATAATTTAAAAAAATTCTTATGTCTCAAATTTTAAAAAATATTAGTTAATTAAAAGATTTAATTAACTATTATTGTTTATTTAGTAGTCCTATATAATGATATGTACATGTGATGTATGATATACACAGGCCCAATAATGATATACACAGGCCCAATAATTTTCGTTTATTATTGGGCCTGTGTGCCTATAATTATGTTGTAATTACACGAGGAGGCGCAATGGGAGAGTGGACGCAATAGGGGGTCCCACGAGGCCGAGACGGAAGATCACGATGCATGAAGATACACCAAGATGCTGACGGAACTGATGAGAACGAGATGGATGATCATAAGGCATGAAGATGCATCAATACATACATAGATTGTGATGTGAGTAATTGGACCCACTAACTCGAGTCTGATCACATTAGGTTATGGTCTATAATCATATAGTATGATTGCTCATGTGATGTGTAATTGCTTACACACCTACTAGATATATATATATATATATATATATATATATATATATATATATATATA